GGAAACGTTTTCGTCCCGAAGCTGGAGAAAAAGAGGCGTGAAACCTGACCTGCATTGATTTAAGTACTCATACCTAAGAGTCCCGTATGTAACCTGACCCTTACCAGTCAAACATTAACTGCCGTAGCCAGCTGCATAACTGCATAAAAATCATTTATTCTCTGTAACAATAACTTTTTTATCGTCCCAATGCCCAGCAATTGGGCAATTCGGTTCGGATATATTCAGCTCACTGTAAATTCTTTGCTACCTACTTTTCCTCCTCCGTGCTCGGCCAAAATTTCAACGGTGTTCGGACCACCGTACCTGTTAATTCTTTGGCTCGACACAGATTAGCAAAAGTCACTGACACAGCATAATTTATCCGTTCAGAGACGATTACTATTTATATTTATATTTATTTCATTTTTTTGTCTTCCAAATCAGCCTTTATCAACCTCCCCACTGTTATTCCTGGGAATGTATGAGAAGCTAACAGAATAACATAAGCAATTTATCTGTTGAAGGCCATACGCTAAAGCAAAGAGGGACTGTGCCGAGGTTGCCATGGCAGCGTGCGAAGGACTTTGTGAATACTTGGTTAAAGATAAATACAATACCTTCTGTCCACCAACACCGCAGCCTCACGACCCAAAAGAGTACGACATAAAGGCAGGTAATGTATATCAATATTTATTATATGCTACTTCAATAATAGGCCACTTCCGAATTACCTTTAGCCTCTTTCTAAAAGCGAGTCTTGGTGCCCATCCTTTTATACGAAAATGAGATTTAATTCACATGCAAATTAAACTCATTTTCGTATGAATGGTTGAGCACAAAGCCTCGCTTTGATAGAGAGGCAAAAGACAACTCGAAAGGGCTATCACATAACGTTATAATTGGATTGCTTAGGCCACTACCTAGAATAGCTGCAGGCATTTTCTGTGCGCGCTTGTAGTGCCGGGTTTGTCATTGTTTATCCATGAACTGCTGGTGAATATCGAGTATAGTGGGTAGGTGTGGATGAAGACTGGTAATAGTTCCCTCTTTCAAAAGAACAAATAGTTTGGCTATTGGCACCGTTCGTACCAATACGTGGCAATGTTCTAAGTCCCCTTAATGAGATGCAATCCATTCGTCTGACGGTCAGTCTTCGGTCAGTTAGTGAGTCGGTCGATTTTTATGTATTTGCACTTCATTGTTTGTTTGTTTGTTTTTATGATAACTCGATCTCAGATTGTTCAGTTCTGTATAAACTGAATTGCAACGATTCGGTGCTGTACGAGAAGGCCATGGAATGTGAGGATCAGGGAGCCGACAAGTTCGCCAACGACAACGATCACGACTGCAGGTGAGAATAGACTCCGGCGACTTGACATTTCTGGCTCGAGAGGGCGAATTTGCCACCACCACCACAATTAAAGCAATTAACTCTCGTATTATGTTCCACTGCAGCGAGGAGAAGATAAGAAACAGAAAATGCCTAGAGGAAAGTCTTCTTAACAACGCCTTGTGCACGTCAAATGTTCAGCTTCTGGATGAAACCGAAAAAGCTCTTCACGGGACATTGAGTAATGAGCGACTGTTTTGCAACGAGGTGAACTTAAATACCGTTTCACTGGATGAGGATGTCCAGTCGCTGGCCGACTGTCAACCAGAGTTTTTCGATGAAGCAGAGGATTGCGCGAGACCATTTCGCGACAACTTCAAAACCACGGCAGCAGCGGAGAGAATAAGTGACCAAACATGCAGGTTTGTATTATTCGCGGAAGTAAGTGCTGAGGCGGAAGGGAAGGGGGCGGGGGAAGCGGGGGGG